AATTAAATCTTGTTTACTTAATTACGAATTCTTCATTTATTTAACAACTGCTGTTGTAATAAAACAATTATGCAAGCGCAGAATCTAGTATGACGTAAGCAGAGAATTTTACATTTATCTTCTTCTTGACACCGTGCGTTTAATATCGCATCCACTCATCTTAAACATCCATTCAGGCCTCTTTTTCCTTCCATGCATATTCATAACCATTCTTGAGAGTCCCTCTCGGGGCATCCTCTCCCATGTTCCTTTTTTCCATTTACAGAATCATCTACCTCTAAAAAGTTTCTCACTCCCGGTTTTTGTTCTGCCTCATCATTAAACAATCTGTCTCTGTGCGTCACACCCAACAAAGGTCATAAAAATCTCTCTCTATTCTCTGCCTATCCCTTTTGCTCATATCTATCCCTCATTACCATCTTTCAAAATTAGTTTTGCAATCTCTTACGCTATTTTATTTTTTTCCATTCATCTTCATCCTCTTTAATAGAATAACATTATGAATGCATATAAAATTCTTCTGTTTAATACTGATATTAATTTTAATTGGAATATTTAAATTATTTAAAACGACCTTCTTATTGTGAAGGTAAAGCGTTGAGTAATGCAGGAAAAACATTAGGAAAAAAAACCCATTTCAAATAATCAAACAGATAAAAATCTATTAAACTTTATCCTTAATTATAAATTGTGGTCGACAAACTACTTATCAGCATACGCATAGCCTATTTTTATTACTTATAAATACCAAGTAAGGACAAGGACAATTTTCGATATTCTTATCTATAAAACAATCTTAAAAGCATTAAATAAACCAAAGAATAAATAACTCTTTCCGCTATCAAAACAAAGTGCAATAAATCTTAAAACAGAATCTGATATTGAAAACTTTACCTCTTGACATTTTTACCTTATTTCCAACATTATTAATAATTGAGTTTAAAGCTACAAATTGCACGAAAGAGTAAAATATAACGTGTTTTAATTAAAGAACTTTAAAGATAATATTAAAAAAAAAATAAACAATGTTTACTATATTCTAGCGTGCGATACGTGGCAGATGTGATTGGTGACAAGTAAAGAACGACGTCTTTGATTCATTTAATATTTTATGATTCCTGATCCCTCAAAAGACGTCACATCAACTAGGGTGTGGTCGACTGGCGCTGGCTCATTGACACACACACATCTCCGAGGCGGTAGTTGTAAAAGGTCGAACGTTCTCACAAACATAATTAGAACCTGGTATTTATTACTAAAAAGAAAAGAAGAAAAAAAAAATATTGAGGTTGGTACTTTTTCAAAACGAGATGAAGAGATAAAGCTGACGACGTTTTTAATCTTAATGTCGTATTCGTAACGAAAAGATCAATTTTGGAAATGGAGAGCGGCGATGCGATTATTTTTATTTGTATATTAATTATAAAGACTTAACAAAGATTTCAGTCTGGTATCTCAAAAATTAAATTAGTTTCTGTGATGGTAATTAATAACAGAAGAAAATTCGTGACAAAGTGGAAATGATTACACTCTCTAGTTTTAGCTAACCACGACTAATGGTTTTCAGTAGAAAGTTTTAAGAGTTTGACTTTAACTAAGAGTCGTCGTCATTATGTTGACAGAAATACGGCAAATATTGTAGTAAACATTAATTTTATTAAATTTACGAGAATGAAAATCATTTATTAACCGTAATAAAATGATATAAATTTTCGTCAATCTTTTATTATTTGATTTGATGATTAGTTTAGTTGCGTTACTTTTAAAATAAGAAAGTTTTGATTAAAATAGAAAGAAAAGAAATCAATCTTTATATATGATTTTCATCTAAAAATGCAATAAGACAAAGGTATTTTTTAAATTATTTTCTAAGGAATAATTTCATTTTTTGAAACGATAACCAATGACATTATTGCAAATACGGATATCAAAAACTAACAGAAAACATGCTTTCCAATTCTCAACAATATTTATTTGGATAAAAAGATGAGACGTCCGATTACGAAACCAATTTCCGTTTTGATCCGAATTTCTTTTCTTTCCGTATTTTTCAAAAAGTCTTTTGCCATTGGTTGATATTTTGATCTCCTGTTGAAGAGTTATTTGGCATTATCTGTATCGTGACCCTCTCCTTAGTAATCTAAGTCGCCAGATGGCCCTCTATAACCTCGAGTGCATCTGATAGTTAGAAGAAAAATTCCACGGAATTTTGGAATGTCGTAAAAGACAAAACCTCTCTATATAACGATTTTACTTTTACAACCCACGTTGACATGTCGATGACGTCAACTGCCCGTGCCATAGTTGGCGGAAGTTCCATTGTTGAATCTATCTGTTGACTAATGCAACATTACAGCTCATCCGTCCGTTAGATTGAAAAGTTGTGCCTAAGGTTGCATCTCGTTATTTTTCACTTTATCCACTCGTGTAATCGATATCGGATTAAAAAAAAATTGGGGGATAAACAAATGTGAAACAACGGTAACTATGCAAAATAGTTTATTACACCTTGAATGTATAATTATAATTTTGGCAAGTAATCTATAGTTTCTTTCTGTAACAAATATTTCCTGAAGCATAAAAAGTATCTCGAGATGCATTTTAGCTCGAGAGAAGCTTTTAAATAGATTACTCTCTCTGGAAACAATCTACAATTTTTCTTCTCTTTTCAGGATTGATGACTTTTCCGGAAACGGTCATAATTTTCATAAATGCAAGCAATCAAGACGCTTTTAACCATTCATAACTTATTCTCTTATAACTTTTAAGTCTTTTGATTAACTAGAATTAAAATTAAACGAAGACAACTCGATATAGCAAAAGTTTATTCTCGTATTTTAATAACCTAAGGCAATTTTCTACGGCATCAGAAACTCGAAGCGTTGTAAATCGAAGAGAAACTTATTTCGATTCCGTAACATAAACATAACCAGTTGGATATTGTTACAGGCTTGAAAACACCGAATCTGTTTCGCGATCAATGCAGTATTTTGTATCAGTTAAGATTGGCAACGATTTCCAATATTGGCACAACATTCGACTATCAAGTTTCATCGCTTTGATATGTTGCGAGTCATCATAATCAATCAGTGAAACGAGGCAGCGCTCTTTGCTTGTCATGAAGGGAACAATAAGGAGCTGTCACTGACGAAATATTTCTCGGACCGAACTTCGCCAATTGAACCGCAAAATTGTCTACATTAACCGCACAACATGCACTCTAGTTAGCCGGGATGCGAAGCACTTTCTCGTATCCTGATCAATGGGATCGATGCTTCCGTCGACACGGTTGGCCTTTGCCAGGCCTAATTAGATACAACACTCTGTAACGATTGCAGAAACTGCGTATATGACTTATGGATCGTTACACTTAGCACACGCAGCTGAATAGATTGCTCTTTTTTTCTAATTTTACGTTTCACTACTCTAAATGTTCATAAATCTTCCATAAAACCGTATAGGAAATTAATTTTTATTTTTATTGTCAGAGTTGCTTATGATATCGAGTTATGAGCCAAATTTAAATGGCGGCACTTTTCTTAAAAGAAAAAAACAAAGTGAAAACTTTGCATTAAGTACAGCTTACGGTTTTCACTATTTTTGTTTTAAAATAAGAATACTAAAGTATTTGATACCGGAGATCCTTTGCGTGTTTTCTACCTGTCGTCATCCTATAAATTTTCATCACATGACTTACAACTAATAACTTCAGGTTTAAAATAAATAGTGGAATGACTACGATAGTAAGTGACAAGGAGGACGGCAAACCGTTCCTCTTCGTAAACTCGTTGGCCTTCAGAATGATGCATTTTGACATACAAATCACGTAGGTCATGCAAAGGTGTTCGTAAAGGAAAACGTGGGGTGGAGTTTCGAGAAAATTTTTGGGGACAAAATCGTATATTTGATTCAATTTTTGTTATCATTAAAAAAAAATTTTATTCTGTAATAAGTATAAAAATCTAAACTTAAATTTAAGCTTGAGAAGTTTCTTAAAATCTAAACTAAGCTAAGATGTTTGATCTCCTTCATAAGAAACGAATATTTCACATTTTCTACGTAAGATAGTAAATCTCTAACATACTTTTACATTATATTTACTATCAATATTTGCATAAGAATTAAACAATGCATTGGCTAAGTTATCCGGATTCTGATAAGAGTAAAACTATTGTGCATTATCTACGTATTTATTTACAAAGGTCTTGCTTCACTTTACAAACCTTGATCAATTTCTCTTTTAACTAATCTAACTTTTAAACTTCATACTAGTTACTGCTCTATACGAAATAATAAAGTTTTTACTTTGACAAGAAGAATCAATTGCTTTATATCTTTGCTAAGTAAAAAGTTTATAAAAATTTTCATAATATAACATTAATAAGATACAATGAACTCAAGTGGTCTTAGGGGGAGGTTAAGACAGTCTATCAGTTGTGTGTGTCTTATTCAACATCAAGCTATTAGTTATAAGAAATGAGGATGATTCTCAGAAATTTATTCTACTTACTCTTCATTTCTATATTAGTGTTCCTATTGGAAATTTTGTTAAAGGGTGTATCAACAGTGTTAATGAGTCATGACTAAACTCTGCAAGGTTATAGGCTCCGGGCGTTGCGACTAGGATAGGGCGTCGAGACTCCTGTCAGAACAGGAAGGGACCGGAAGGAAAAAAAAATCATTTACAGTATGCAATTAAGTGTATCTTACCTAATTCGATTGACCTATTTTTATACATTTTCCCCCTCTCGTGATGTAATCAAACTTATCGATATAATTTTTATTAGTTTCCTGTTAACGAATCATCATTACAAAGGTCAAAGCGATTACAATTTATAACTGTTAATATAAATAGAAATCAATAATTAATCTTTACTCCGAATTATGTGAAATACTTGGAAAGAATTACCTTAAAATTTCGCAATGGAATATTTACTGAAATTTTATACGGTTTACATTTGTTCATAAGTCACGGATAATTTCGAAAACAGTAGAGTATAAAGTTCAATTTTTATGTCGGATAGACAACACGCTTGTCTTTAATTAGCACTAATCGACAAATTATCATCAAGGACTAGCCAGCAAGTCTCAATTCAACCGTCTAATAACAAACAACACTGAGTAACTGGAGTCGAAGCTGGGAATGTCAACTATTTAACTAGAAGCACCTGCAGTTGTCGCTACAACTTAATTTTTTACTACAAGGAAAAAAGAAAACACGAAGAATGGATTTGTAAGAGCCAAGTGATGACGTCACGCAGCACCACTCCCTGACAAGGTTCAGGCGGGAGTGTAGCACCACGTGATTGTCAACTTGGAAAGCACTAGAGAGGGTAGGAGTCTGACGTTTGACTAGCCGGCAGCTCTGACTTTACTGTCATTGGTCAAAAGGAAATTCTGTGTTGCTTACGCCAGTTTTGGTACAGAAATGAACTCGTGATCTCAGTCTGCTTTGGCTTCTAGCATGCGAAGGCATATTCTCAGATGGATTTTTTCAAGGTGGACGGACTTACGAGAAGATTCAACGTTGAGTAACGGAATATACTTTCTACAAGTTTGAATATCAAGTATGTCGTTCGGACTGGAAGTTATCGTTTTGGGACTAATCTTTTCTTATTTCCAACCATGCCAAGGTAAGGATTATGATAAAAGAATCGATGAATAATGTACACACCTTGATAAATGATTCTGTCACAAATGAATAGTTGATAAGTAATTTTTATTATAAATTTGAAACGAGATGGATCGTTTATTCTCGATTTATTTGAAGTGAACTAACATGTCTGGAATGCTACTTAACTACTTACGAATTTGTCAGATTAAAATTAACTTACTGGTTTTACAATTCAGCTAATAATTTAGAATTATTCAAACATTACATTACTTACAAACGAAAATTGAAAATTAACTTTATTTTACATTAAGGATCTACTTCAACTTCTGTCAAACAGAATAATTTTTAGGCTAAAACGTGAACAATTGATAAAGAACGGTATAAAATTGTTGCTGTTAAATTAAAAATATTAACTTTTAAGTTTAAAACAATAATAATCGTAAGGAGGGACAAAATGATTTTAAGAACCTTATTCTTAATGAACTAAACTGTTTTCTCTAGGAAGAGAGATTATAAAAGTTTAATGACATCCTTTCATTGAGTGTAGCGTAGGAAGCTATTTCTTCGCCCCTAATTTACTTTATTTTAATAATAGTTCTTATTTATTAATATTATTTGTATATGAAACGTTTTCTTTTCTGGGAATCTTCTAGAATAGCTTATATCCTTGTATTCCTTGTTGTTATCTACCCCGAGAGACTGTTAATTTAATCGAAATTGTAATCAATGGGTCTAACGTGTATGGAGATCTTATTTGCATTTAATGACAGTTCAGTCTCCTTCTCTGGGCTTTATATAATGAGTTTGCTTTTTAAATGGAAAAAAGGACAAATGTAATGAAAGAAACTGTACTTTTTATAGAACAGCCACCCAAGATTATAAATTCGAAGACTTGAAAAGCCCTAATTAGAATGATATAATGTTTTCTAATAAAAATATTTGCTATATATTTAAATGTCATTCAAGGACATTAGCGAAAATGTAAAGCTCAGTAGGCAATGCTTTTGACAATTAAACCAGTTTGAGTATAACTAGTTTCATTTCATTGCATTTTAATTACATAGTAAACATTTATCCTGTGGTAAGATTCGATCGAAGCAGGATAAAGCCACATGTTTTATCTGTAATGAAAAATCTTATGATATACTATAGCGTATATTATTATTATATTTATTTTATTCTTATGAAATTTATCCGAAATGTTCGTTGCAATCTTACAGAGAAATAAAATAAATAAATAAAAACAACTGTTTTAAAGTTAGCAGAAACCAAGAAGCCAGCTTGGCCATTTCGATTTTACATCAAGTGGTTTCGATTTTCTAGCTGCCGTCGACAATTTTCATCATTACAATGAGATGGATTAAGTCTATAAGAATCACAGTATTGTTTCTCTATTAACCGCATTATCTGTCTTGCTTAATGTTACTTCCAGTCAAACAGAATAGTTTTTTGTGCTTCCGAGGAAACGGATTTCCTGAATAGTATCATCTATAGTCAATTTTTTAAAAAAATAGTGACCAAAAAGGAACGTGACTAATGGAGAAAAGCTGACTAAAAGATTTAAAAGGACTATTGACCAAATAAGGAAGATGCTATACCGTTAAGATTAACAGCATATGAATTCTTAGCCTTAAGCCCTTTTATTAACTGGCATGACATCAAAGTCATATTTCACAAACCATCCATAAAGGAAACTGCCTCAGATTAAAGTTAGCAGCTGTCACATAATACAAAGATGAGCGAAATGAACGGATGTGAATAGATAAGAGAATCTGTTCCATTGTTCGAGATCGTCCAGTTGTTCACCGACTAAACACATACAACTATAAATTAATAGCGGTCATTCCTCTCACAAAAGCATTGGACAAGCTTTTTGTCCACTTGGCTTGTTCTAGAACTGTTATTATTTGACAACACACTTATTATTATCTGGGTGTGTGCGGCACTGTAACTCTTAATTCCTATCTTGAGAAGTTCTCATCCATTAGTCGACTTTATCCCAAAACTTCTTCCAACTTGTCATCGACCACACGGGTCAACTTGAGTAATCATGTGTTTCAGTCCAGTTATGACAGTGTCAATTTTGGCTTTACTGCCGTAGATGATATGTAGCTGTCAGAAAGAATATATAAATAGCCTAAAATACACATTATTTTTAAAAAGACGGATGTACAATAGTCAGTTTTAATTTCGTTTTTAATCATTTTAACGATTTCTTTTAACCACTTTAAAAGCTTAGGTCTGGTGAAAATTAAAATAAAAAACTTTGCTATCGCTTTGCTTCGTTGATTTATTGTTCTTTATAAAAAAATAGAAGTTGACAAATTTTTGGACAACAGATGCATTGTACTGTACCCTCCATGGGACTGTTTGTCACAAATTCGATCCCTTTTGGTCTTAAAATTATTGAATGCGTAGGAGTTGCTATCTGTGAATCAACGTTTAAGATATTTTTTTCCAATCAAACCTTTGACCAAATGCGATTTGTCGTACGTCAAAATTCGTCACTTGGGGATGTACTTTGACAATCATTCTTTGATATATGTTTACCTGTTGCGTAAGTGAGATATGTTACTGACAAAACGGATGACTAATAGACTACACACATAGTTTATTCAGTAACCGAATATAGAGCCTTAATCTAAACTTTAAATAAAACTCTCTTTCTTGAGTATTAAATGACTCAACTCTAGATATAATATTCATAAATAAACAAAAAAAAAAACTGAAACTTTTAATGCAAGGATTTATTTTGAAGCCGCTTTAAAACTTAAATCTATAACTATTGTAATCTAAAGGTTCAAACTCGGCAGATAAATTACATTTATATATATTTAATTTGTTAGTAAGTATTCTTATCAACAAGAAAATCGACTATTTAACGACGTCCATGATTAATCATGTTGATCCAACACTAGTAATTGGTCATTGATTTCGATAACCATAGTTACCAGTTTAAATTAAGTTAACGTATCTGTCAACCAATGTGTAAACGAGAAAAGAAATCATGGTACAAGAGTCAACAAGTGAAGCGAAATCTCATCTAGAACTGCAAATATAAGAAAGGCAATCACACTTTATAACTCGGATTTTGTTACACGAAAGACGAGAGAAGAGAAAAAATAAGAGACGAAATTATAAATGAATATATTAATTAAATATAATTCATTACATGCATAAAAGTAGTGTAGGACGACGTTAATCGATTAATTAAATTCAATACGTCTCCGGTTAAAATTACACGTTTTTTTTTTTAATACCCTTTCATAATATTTTAAATTAATGTATTAAATACTTGAATGTGAAAATTCAGGTCGAACCTAACACCTACAATTCAAGTCGAATCCATTAGTGACTTTTATTAAATTAGCTTTAGCGATCAATTAAGAGATTGAAGTGGATTAAATAATAGACTAGTCCTACTTCGAAGATAATCTAGAAATAACAAATACGTTATCCTTTGATAAATAAATAACTTTTATATATACAACTTAAAGACTGATTGATAACAATTATATTTTAGAAAAGATGCTTTAATTAGTCTTTCTATCTTATTAAAATGTAATAATAATGAATGTATTACTGGAAATAATTCCATAAGAAACTATAGAAAGATCACTCTCCTCTCTTCATCCCTCCTCTCTCTCTCTCTCTCTCTCTAGCGAAATCTGGCTTAAAAATTTAGAAATATGGCATAAAAAATGTAAGAAAATATATTAGCTTCCATTTTTCTTCTTTTGACAAATAATTTCTATACAAAAAAACTATCTTAAAAAAGAAATTTTCGAAGATAGATTTGTAAAATATTTATCAATTTGCAAATTTACTAAATTCGATTCTGTCAAAAGTGAACGGAGTTTTGCAACTGTTTTGTTGACTTTTGGGTAACTTATAAATAAATCAAGTAGGAAATATTTCATAAAAGTTGGATTCTTATGAAATCAATCTTAAATGCTCTATTTTAATTTATTTGAGAAAACGGAATGATTTACATCAGTTGATATTCGTTACTTCATGGAAGATCTATAAATAAAGAGAAAAAAAAAAAAAAAAAAAAATAGAAGTGTTTTTTCTAATAACAAATAGAATTGTTTATCGATTAAGCATAAACAGAAATTACCAAAACTCCAGTAAAGACTTGAAATATAAATAATTCCTCAAATGATGATAAAATGGAAGATAAAAATATCAGTAAACAATAGATTAAACTACAAACATATATAAACAATTTTATCCTACTGGCTGCTTAAATTTATGAAATGATAGCAGAAACATATATTTTTTTTCCCTCATAAAAAGTTAGAAATGTCGATGCGAAGTGTTAGAACTTATGATCACACATTGTTAAAATTAAACGGAGTATTGCGACGGTGGCAATGTCAGAAAATGACTATCTTTTAAGTTAAGGATTCGAATGCAGTTTTCTAATGACTAACCGCCATTGGAAAAATCCTCCCTATTAAAATAGATGATCGAAGTGAACGGTTTCCATCTCTACAAAACGAAAACTAATCCTATTTGTCAAACAGCTACAATAGGATCACGTAATCATCGCCTCTTCCCTAGTGATGACGTCACCTCTTTACAAGACATATTGACGAGAAGTTTTGCAGGACATATTAGTTCTAGTCACGAAAATCCCTAGTCCCTATTCGAGGGCGTGGCCGAATCCCTTGAATAATGAAGAAGCCATTTGCAGGGCACATCACAGGCAACATCCAATTATTTCCATAAATCATACTCTTGTAAGACTTTGATCGGGTTTATTTTCAGCTGAAACACAATCGATACGGACGGAAAGTCGACCCGTCACGTGCTTTGTGACGTCACAGGGAGGGTATTTTTAAAAGAAGAGTCGGTAATTGTCGTAATGTCGTAAGGTTCGCTGGTCTCTGACTCATCTGTCACATTGCTTATCGCATATGTTCAGTGACTTGTCATGCTTAATGTAGTGTATTCCGTTATTCTGTATTGTTATATTCCATTTCGGAAAACTGAACTTTTATGTACTGGCAGCATTTTTTGCCAATTATTTTTTATGTGGATCAATGGTTAGATTCCAAAATCTGACTTTCACTATACATCAAATAGGATTTTAAATTATTTTCTGCAGTTAAATTGTGTTAGAAGAGAGTTCAGTGTTCTCCTCACCTTTCGATCTCACTTTCTCTGCTACCAAACTTCAGAGAATCCTACATTTGTAAACTTTCGAATCTTATTATCATAATTAAAAGGGTCAATGGGCAGAACTGTACTACTGCACAGATACACGTTGCATCTGCTACTCGTTAACAACTATCTAAAGCGTGTTGTTTCCATTTCGCTCTTGAGATCAGTCGATAACTTTTCTCACTTGTAGTTAATCAAATAGTTCGATTCTTTAACACGTATCCACTTCTATAGTTAACTCGTTAAATTAACCTGACGTGTTAATATTGGTTCGTTGGGTTTCATACTATATATAGATACAATGCATTGTGTTGATAATGGCTTGAAATTATATGTAACTATAATTTTGAATTCTATTATAAATGCAGCATGTGTGATTAGTGGGTAAACATATCTCCAAACTGTTTACTATATGCCATTTTACGATAACATTTAATAAAATCGCTGAATGTTCCTTGTATTAAAACCTATACTTTTTTTAAAATTTTACATGACGATTTCAACGAAATTTTCTCAATTATAATTGATATCAATCCTATAAAATCGTAATTAGAAAATGTAGGCTGAATAAACCAATCAAATTAAATAAATTTTTTAAATATTCATTTTCTACAATTTATAAAATACAATTTCGATTATAAGTATTTTAAATTTATTAATTTATGATTAAATGCACAATCTCTTAATAGGTAATTTTCTTCCGGGAAACCGCCCTGTAGTTCTTATACTGTGAAGCAAGATAACACTTTAATTGCTTTTATCTCCGTGGATGCTATTAGAGTTCAATCTTATCGAACATCCCGGTAAGAAATTAACGAACGATGCTCATAATGTATGATTACATGGAATATTTTAAGCTGAGATGTAATATTATTATTACCGAAGTATCATCGATTCTAAGAGTATCCTACTTGTAGACTGGCAAAAATTAGTTAAGAGCAGAAGTTTTCTAATTACTAATAAAGTAACTTTCTCTATTGAATTTTTTATTGAAAGTGCAGTTATAGATCTTCTAACTCACTTAGACAGTAACAAATGAAAAAATCAAAAGCTTCTTTCTCCCTTCGTGGTGAGTCATACAGATGAAAAATAATATAGGGGAGAAGAAATATCGAACAATACATCCCTCGAAATAACAGCATACTACACGGGGATTTACTTTCTATAAACTACTCAAAAACTAATTTAGAATTAATCATAGTATATAAAGTTTAACGTATAGAACAATATAGCGATTAACATTTGATTAATATAACTGTTATTTTATTTATTCGACATTAATCATTACATAAGTGTGAAAGAGTATACTGGATTTATAACATGTTTCAAGTTGAAATTATTCAAATTTTCGGCTTGAAAAGCAATATAAATCTTTCTTAAATTATAAATCGTGATAGAAGAAATCATCAGATCATCTGAAAATCTCGAAGCTATTATGGGTCGGGATAAATAACTTTTTGATTTACAGCATTGTCAGATAGTTTGCAAAATGTATTAAAGGATGGCTGCTTCTGACTGACACAAACGATAAGAAGAGATAATACAGAAGAGATTTTTAAAAATCCGAAACAATTACGGGCCTAATAAATTGTTTGGTGTCTCTAATGATGTACTGAGTGGTATTTTCAGTGTTAAGCAATTTATTTAAAGCAGAAAATAACAAGAAACTCAACTGGGTATCATTAATACAAAGCTTTTCAACTTATTAAACTTTCAATTTTTGAAATGTTCATTTTCAAGATAAGTTTCTTTGCATTAATATTAAAAATTATCAACGCTACTAAAGCCTATCTTTCTTTCTTTAGTTATTTCGATATATCGACTTTTTATTCTCTACTGTTACAACGGGAACAATGTCATTTTAAATTGCAATCTTCGTCGGTTGAAATATTGTCCTCATTTCTCACTATCAAGATAATTATCGGTCGAATTCGTTCTTCCGTGGTTTGGAGATTTAACTTTCGAATTTGAATTTTGTGGCATTTACGCATCAACAGAAAAAATTAATCGAATAACTTCTTTTTTTTTTTCATAACTTGAACTTCCGTGTTGCTATCATAATTGCCTAACTTTTGGTGATCTCATGCAGTTACCGTCATTGATTTTTTTCTAATCTAATTGGATAACTTCTAAAATTCTAAATAATGAAAATACAATTATTATAAATTACTTTTAAATATTGCTGTATCTATTTTAGGTGGAATCAAATTCAGAGATGGCTTCCACAAACCTAGAATATACGAAAAAGCGCCAGCCGGTACTTACGTTACAACTGTGTACACATTTAACCCTGAAGGATCTGAGGGATCGTTACAAGATGTATCGTACACGTTAATCGAAGTCCGTGACTATGCTTACTTTCAGCTCGATTCATCGACTGGTAACTTAAGCACCAAAAAAACTATCGATAAGAAAGCGGGAGACTCTTACGAGGTAACTATCAATAAAAATTCAATATGGCTCGTAATTATTATCGGTTGTAACAGCGATAGTCTACACGAGTATTAAGTATTAATATTTAATTTTTCATTTGCATTGAATAAAACTTTATTTCAAAACGATTAAAGTAATATGATGAAAGGGAACTAGGTGAAGGTTTAACCCCATTTTAACAGGTTCAGCCCAAGATGTTTAAAATAACCTGAGGGTTCAAGACCGACCGATTAAACAATAGATAAAATGATTAGTATTCCTAATGTGGTATGTCAGAGGTTATTTGATATATTTATCACGCCACCGTGTTACTGAAATTAATTAACCCCGCTTGAATTCGATTGACCTTGAAACCTTTTACTAAGAAGAGGATAATTAATCGAATATCTGTTCTAAACTGTTAATTCGGTTGTGGCGGGAGGCCAAATATTAATTGTTAAATACCATACACGGCCAGCTGAACCTTATCCGAATTAATAATTAGAAATTTGTTCAAGTATTTTAATAATTTCGATATCTCTGAGGGTCAATGACACGGCTTAGAGGATTTCTTATTAGTTTTAATAATTTTTATGGTTTGAAGACGATTCTAATTAGATGTTTAGTTAAAATATGCTAATATTTTACACGTATTTCTGTAATTGAATTTTGCAAACAAACGAATAATTAATAATTCTATTACTTATTACAGATAATTATTGTGGCAATTCATCAGGGCGAAACACGATTATTGCAGATGGATATTTACGTTACAGTTTATAACACTTTTATACCAAAATTCGAAAAATCTCTTTATCGAGCAGAATTACACACAGAAGTATCTGGTGGAACTTTAGTGCTTCAAGTTAAAGCTAACGACAAAGATCCTGTTAAATATAATAAAGAAATTTATTATACAATGGAAAGAAACGAAGCCAGCTCATACTTTGCATTAAACGAAAATACTGGGGATATACTTGTACGAAAAAAATTAAACAAAGCTCCTAAAAAACTTCTTTTTAGAGTATTTGCCGAAGATGGAGGATCTCCTAAAAGAACTTCCGAAACTTTTGTAGAAATTCTAATCAAGACTATATCAGGTGAGCCAAGGTGATAAAGAATTACTGAAATTTCTTTTAAAATAAAAGATAAAATAATTAAATTTCCAGAATTACAATGATTTAATAATAAACGTAAAGCTTAAAAACCTCAAGTAGGCGTATCCTGTTTCAAGTATTGTTAGAATGTCGACATGGTTCCTTTTAAGTATATGTTAAATATGTCAATTGGGATTGATGTGCAACAACGCAAAGGCGTGTAGGCTTATACAATTCTAGAAATAAATGCCTTGTCTCTTTTTAACAACTTTCCAGTAATGTTGCTACAGCAACATTTACACTGGAAATGATTACTCTTAATTTGAATGAATTACAAAATAAAATTAACATCACCAACAGAATTTCATTATTAAAAAGAAGTTTAAATATATAAAATTTTAATTATTTAAGAAATTATTATTATTATTATTTTCGAAATAATACATCTTTATTTATTTGTGGTAAATAATCAATGTTTATAATAAAAAAAATGTTACTGTAAATATAGTTGTTTGGGAAGTTTGGAAAAATTACATTATTATATAAATAAATAATACGTTAAAAATATATTTTTTAGTATTTTTTTTAATACAATTATTACATATCATTTATTAATAGATTTAGTTAGATTTAATACAGCTTTATCAGAAGACGAATTCTCGTATACTTTTGATTCGTGGATAATTATAATTGGAAATAATTATATTCGAGATAAAATCATATAATGTTATTGAAATTAAAGTACGTAAAAATAGAATACAACAAAACATACAAAATAAAACTAAGTAAACTTTGGTCGATAATGAATCTCAATCTCTCATTAACAGAGAAAAAGTCTGTTATCGCTGGACTGTAATTCAATACATTGAACAGCAATTAAAACTTTAACTACATTACGTTTTTAAATCTTTAATTAATAACTTTTGACCCGCTCACTGATAATAAAAAGTAAATTAATGTTTATCCTTCTGTGTAATTTTTTACATTATTTTGCAACTAAATTATAATAATGGTAACCAATAGATTAATGCCTAATGAATCTAAATGAAATATTTCTTATTATTGTAGATTTTGAATCGAGAAATCGTTTTAATAGAGAAGTTACGGCCGAAGTTTTTATTTCTCAAACGTGAACGTCGAACGTCGAGCGCCGCTATCTTGTAAGCGGCGCTCGACGTTCGACGTTCACGTTTGAGAGATGAAAACTTCGGCCGTAACTTCTCTATTAAAACNATAATTACTGTATTTACTTTTTCTAGATAAAATATTGGAATCAATAAACTGAAGATTTTGAATTTTTAAATGATAATTATCTTCTATTTAATCAATTATAATATAATATTAAGATATATAACAACAATTTTTTACGTGTATTTTCTAATATTTAAGATTTTATCCATCGAAAAACTTTTATATAAATGCCTGCAATATATAAAGTTGAATATTTATGAATTGCTCTATTTGCAAATAAATTAAAATAAATAATTTATAAGTAAAATAATTAGCCTTATGAAACTTATTCAAATTGCTAAACCGTCAACTATAATATATTTATAAATTATGTAAAGAGCAAAATTGCATTTGACGAAAATAAATTTCTTAAAAATATGACTTAATTAATATAGAAACGGTTTAAAAATTTATAGAAATTAAACTAATAGCTTAATAGAATTTAGTATATTAAACTTATTTTGTAAAATCATTTAAATGTATTCATTGTTTCTGATAATCCATTTCGCTCGTATTATAATCTTTCATAGATTAGTTTGTATTACTGGTAATTATATACACTAGCCTAAATTAGTATCCATGTAAATGTAATTGTAATATTAATACGACGAAAATGGTAGCAATAAATACAAACGGTATATCAAATAAGTTTAGACATTGAGTATAGTAAAATATGCCTCAATGATAGATATTTCTTGCAGCATAGTTTTATAAATTAATAATAAAAATACATTAATTCTCAGATGTTTAGAACATGAGTTGATTGTGAAGCAATGTTGTATATTTGTTTCAACAAACAATTATTTCGTTTATTGTATATTTGATACTAAAGTTATTTTCATATGATACATTGTTTCGTAAGTTATAAAGTAAACTAAATAACTAATATCGAATTAGACAAACAATATTACTTCATAACTAGTCAAATTGTATTGTGAATGGTTCAAATATACTGTATCTACCAATAAAATTACATCAATTATTTTAAAAATATATTTTTTTCACATACATCTCGACTTACTGAAACAATGCAGATTAAAAAAAAATTCAGTCTTATGAATTATTTTAATTACTTTTAAGTGTATTAGTTAGGCACAAGGGATTAATGCTTAAAGTATCCTTATTTCTTTATTGTTTAATCAATTTAAGTAATGTTTATCAGAACGAAGTATTTAATTTTTCCAGAAAATAGAAACCCATTTAAAATACATATAAAAGAATGATAACAACACGCATTCAAATAAATTATTATGTAAAAATATTCTCTGTTTTAAGCACGAAGAAGTTAACATGTCTAATTCTCAATTGAATATATTTAAATTTTTAATAATAAAATTTAAATCGATTAATTCCAAATATAAAACGTCTTAGTTAGAGACTTCATTAAATAAAATATAAATGAAGACGTTTAGAATATTAATCGATGTTAGTATTTAAGAATCATTGGATATTAATTAAAATATTACTTCAGTTATGTTTATTTGAGAAAATTTATTCCTTGAAATTATAATATCTACAATTAAATTCACATAATTATTCAATTTAAATTTATTATTTTTTTCTGCAAAATTGACTTCCTCATTAACTTTACTCTTCTATGCAAGGAAATACTGATTTGACAATTTAAATAACTACAAAATTTACCATCATAAAACAGTTTTTGAATTCGAAAAATTCTATTTTACTTATAATTACGTATAAAATAGATATTTTATGTTAAATAACTTATTCATAAAAATAACTCTGAAATAAAATAACGATCGGACTTTGAATAAACCTACATTTTAAAATAAATGCTGAAAGACATTTTAGTATAATTTATACAGTTTATATTTATCTGTCATAGCACTCGCCCCCTCACTGATAATATAAATTTTACAGGTGTCTTCTATTAAAATAAATTATATTAATTCTGCTAGAATAAACGTTAGAAGTAGAAAGAGCACTTTTAAAAATCATGACTTAAAAAAACACGAAAAGTACAGTACAACTGTATATCTAAATTTCCACGAAGCTTATCTAAATAACGATAATATTCTTTACCCTTAAGCATAGGACAAACTCGAAATGATAATAATCTGATAACATGGGTAGATATTATAGATTTATTTTTATGTATGTTCTATTCGTATACAATTCCTCCCATTAAATTTTCTTCTGTCAGACAATAATTAACAAATAGAGGGAGGGAAAATGAATGAAAATTTAAATGGTTTTATTTGATTTTTCAGAGCCGATAGATGTTACGGTTGGCAATACTACCGAGACATCTGTAAAAATATGTTGGAAGCGTCCGAATTATGGACAGGTGAACGGATATCTAGTCAGGTACCATGAAGCAAAACGGCTGGATGCGTCACCTTCACAAGTCAATATAACCACCAACGCCAGTTCTGTCTGTACACTCTTAGAAAATGTTAGTCCTTGGACAGATTACCAATTCCGTCTCTACGCATGGAATATGAATGAAACAGGACTGGGAAGTGATATCGTTCCCTTTGGCACCAGACCAAATTGTAAGGACTTAACTATCTCCACCCCGATTTTTTCTTTTTAAATTTTATTCTTTGCAAAAACACAAACCATTTAGGCAACATAAAGTGACTATTATCTATCCACATTAATATTTTATATCGTTAATGTGTAGTTAGATTCGCTTTCTTATTCTTCTTTTATGATTAATGACTTCAAAAATGAATAGATAAATCGGAATATTATATATTTATCCCAATTACTGATACAGGGACATATATTTTTTATAATCCTAAAAATTTCAAATGTCCAATTACAAATTCGATATTTTCTAGTTTAATGATTCCAAAGTAATATTATAAATATTTTAATTTAATTATTTTGTTTTTTAGTTACTAAAAAAGATAGAGAATTAATCAAAGAAATATTTATTTTCAAAGTTTAAGCATTAAATAATTTATAGTGTATATTAGTATAATTCTCTAAATTTTAACTATAGAATAAATAGATTATTACGAACAAATCACACTGTAAAGAAATATCTATAAGTGATTTCTAAAATTGAATCTTTTGGTAATAGTAATATATTTATTTATTTTCAGTTTGTGAACGTCGAATAGCTGTATGTAGAAATGGCAAATGCCAATCGATCAATCATCAACCTGGTTATATATGTCATTGCGAAACAGGATATTACGGTTTCAATTGTGACAGATTCGATCCTTGTTCTTTAAATCCCTGCGAAAATTATGGAACTTGCAGAAACATATCTGACTCTATGTACGAATGTCAATGCGCTAGTGGCTTCTCCGGAAACTCCTGTAATATTTTCAATCCTTGTGCCATTCGTCCCTCTCCTTGCCAGAATAACGGAAAATGCGAAAGCAAACAGACTCACACTTATCATTGCCTATGCTCAATGGGATATTATGGTAGCAAATGCCAATATTACGATCCCTGTATATCTAGTCCATGTATAAATGGCGTTTGCAGAAACATTTCAGATACTGATTTTCAATGTAGATGCAATCCTGGATTTACAGGTAAGAGAATATATGAAATTTTTATTAACATATAAGAAATGGTTTAAATGTCTTGAATTTCAAAGGTAAATTATGCGAAACGGATTTTAACGAATGTTCATTAAATCCGTGTGAAAATGGAGGGACATGCACTGATGGTGTCAATTCCTATAAATGTGACTGTGTATCTGGTTACAGAGGAAGAAGATGCCAGCATATAAGTAAGTTTTTAACAATTCCGGAAAATGTTATAAATTTATTCTCAAATCATATGTGTATTATTTATTATATTTATATTTTATTTCAGTTCGTTGCCCATCAGAAGTTATTACATTAAAGGATAAAGGAAAGTTTGAATGGAAAGACACACCTCATGGAAAAACAGCTTATCTAGACTGTCCATATGGAACTATCTCCTCTTTAAACGGCACAGGACACGCCAAAAGAAAATGCAAATTATTAGAAAACAATACAGTAGTCTGGGGAAAGATAGATACAGAGAAATGTAGAGAAAAGGCACGTTAACATTTTCATTATATTAAAAATTCTATTACGCAAACTGAATATAATTAATTATATTTTTCAGGGATTTAAAATCGCAGAAGATATCACAGGAAAACTGCAATTAATGACAGAAGATCCTAATAACTTAAACGCAGAAAAGTTAGCTTCTACCGCAGAACAAATTCAAAATGTAGTCGATTATGCAGTAAAAGATGAATCGGTAAGATTGAAATTTTACTGTACACCAAATGTAATACATTTTTATTAATTTAGTTTTACGAACATGTAGATAGCATTTAGCATGTTTTCCGTCATTAGCAACGTAATGGCCGTCAATCAAACTGTTCTAGATTCAGGAGATCAAGATGGCACTAATACTGGAAAGTAAGTCCATTTTAAAACTATCATAAAATTTTATAGTATCGAAATTAAATGAACATTAGAAATATATCCGATAAACTATTACTTCATAAATATCATCTCCTGTTAATTATTACTTATCTCGTATCAATTTTAAACTAAAAACCAATTAAATAATACGATATCAAATCCAGTAATTATTCATTGCACGTAATTTATTCTTATTCGAGTAATTCTTTAAAAAAAATAATAAAAAATAAATTTAAATCCTTACAGTTTTAACATTTAACGTTGAAAAACTTTATCATTTTTACAAATTTTGCAAAGTTACTTGGCAAAATCGATAAACAATCTCGGAAAAGTAATAAAATTTTCATATTAAAATGAAATGAATAGCGAACAGCCGCTAACCGAACTAGATTTCAATATATGTCAAGGTTTCTGTATTTCTTTTTCGCGTCATGATCTAAGTATTTTTTATTCTTCGAGAAAACTAAATGAATTTTGAATCTCTTTTAGGTTAGTAGAAGCAATCGATAAGTATCTTTCTAAAGTCGATCTGAATGAAGTAGGGACTATCACTTTCGAAACAGAAAATGTGGCTATTAAAGCTTCTAAAGTCGATGAAAAAACAGAAATTACACGAGATTTACTTACTTTTTCTCCTTTCTATCGAAATATTCGACACAAAGATATTAGAACTAGAAGAACTTCCGAAGGTGAAGAAATTGAAACAATGGTAAAAAAAAAATCATATTAATTAATTAATATTTTAAAAAATAAACAGAAATTAAATAATGAGTAAGATCTTTTTTTTTTCCTCTTTAGTTTTCCTCAATAACTCTTTCATCGGAAGTAATTACATTAGCTCAAAAACAAGCGAAAGATGCTATTCGTTTAAAGTTTACTGCTTTCAAAAACGACAAATTCTTTCGTCCCAAGAGAAATTGCCCAAAGAACTCTTGCACCGCATCGAAAGCGTCACCTTGTGGGTATTCATTTACAAACAAAAACGTTTAAATTAAAATTAAATTAAACTTTCTTCTAGGTACGGATTGTGGTGTAATACAAGCGAGCATCAATAATGTCCGAGTAACTAATTTAACTGATCCAATAGAATATTGGATAGCGACGACTTCCTATAATTTACCAATTTCATGCGTTTATTGGAATAATGAAGGTGATATATATATTTATTTATTTATTTTCAAATTTATGATTTGTTTATTATGCGAAAGATGGCAGCATGTGTNTTTCATGCGTTTATTGGAATAATGAAGGTGATATATATATATATATATTTATTTATTTATTTTCAAATTTATGATTTGTTTATTATGCGAAAGATGGCAGCATGTGTCTTTTATTTTTCAGAAAAAGAATGGTCGAGGGATGGTCTTTGGTCCAACCAAACTGATAATTATACGCTCTGTTTTTCTAATCATCTCACAGCATTTTCAATTCTTTTGGTAATTTTTTTAAAAAACAGTCTTTTTAAACAAATCAACTTGTATATATATATGTATATATATAATTAAAACAGCTTGTTTACGCGGTGAAATAATACTATTGAAGTCGCACAGGTAACAAGCTACAGGGACGACAACTACACCGAAGTTGCTACACAACATCGGGAAAGAGCAGTAAGCGCGTACTCTGTGTCCCCAATGTGACACTCACGCCGAGAATATCGAATAGCTAAAGGGCATAATTAATACCTCGCGCATACTTTTAAATCGCGGAAGTTATTTAAAGACGTATACACTTATTTTTTACTACGTTGTGTTGAATTTACTTTTGTTTTTTTTTTTCCAAACACGCGCGACGTAATAAATTTTTTCTATTTAAAATAAAATTATTTTGCAGGATCCTGAACCAAATACAACTATATCCGAAGTGCATCGAAAAGCTCTTTCTCTTATTTCTTATATCGGATGTGGATTATCTGTTTTTGGATTATTCCTAACTATCATTACTTATTCTCTGTTCAGGTATGAATACAACTCAAGTTTTAATTGCTATATTAATGTGAACTATATAATTAATTATTATTATTATTATTATTATTATTTTGCAGGTGTTTGAATAAGGATCATTCCGGAAAAATCTTGCTCAATCTCTGCATCTCTATGCTTTTAATGAATCTATCGTTTCTAGCCAACTCTATTCCACTTTTTCGTAAAGAATTGTGTACAATATCAGCCATATTCATCCATTATTTTGTTCTAACCACTTTATCTTGGATGTGCGTAGAAGCTATAAATATCTACCAATTATTAATTCATGTATTTGCATCAGTAGAAACTCGTTTTATGTTAAAAAGGTTCATTGTTGCTTGGGGTAAGTTTTATTTACGTAAAAAACATTTGCGAGTTGTCATTTCCAAGCTCATAAATTTTTTTGTATTTTCAGGAATTCCATTTATCATTGTGGCCATAACAGCAGGAATAAATTTAAAATATTACGAAAATCCAAATGAGTAGTAAGTATTCTTGCAAAAACTTTGTTTGGATGTGTTTTAAGGTTGTTTAATATAAGTTACATTTTATTTCAGCTGTATGTTGTCTCCAGAAAACCCATATGTCTATTATATTTCTCTTCTTGGACCGTCTTGTCTTATTTTATCTGTAAATTTAATTGTATTCATTATGGTGAGTCGAGTATTATTTACTCCTCGCATGAACTCCAAACCAGGAGCAACGAAAAAGAGAGGAACTGTCACAATTGCTCAGATCCGTGGTGCGTTTACTGTTATGGTGCTTTTAGGAATAACTTGGGTATTTGGAGCTCTAGCCGTGAAACAAGTGAAGTTAATATTTCAATATATTTTCTGTATTGCAAATTCTCTTCAAGGGCTATTGATTTTCATCGTCAGATGTTTGTTATATCCAGAAGCTAGATGTGCTTGGAAACAATTAATATCTACTGGCACTTTAAAACGACATCGTGGTGTTTCTCCTCCTGGAGGCTCATGGTACGCAAATTCAAATTCCAGTCAAAAACAAAACGGTTGTTCAACATCTAGTCGTCTAAACAGTAGCGAGAATACAAACGCTATTGTCTTCAATACTAATTATTGGAATTCGGAAAAAGAATCAAGCAGATCATTGCCACTGAAGTTTCCTTGTTTGGGGACTGTCACCACTGCTAAAAACAATGTTCAGCAAAAGGAACCAAAACGAAAATCAAACAATACTGGTTTATATGGGACTACTTATGCCAGAAATTCTAGAGATCTTCCTCCTCCTCTTAATGATCCTACAATTGTTTATATAGATGAAGAAGAACAAGAGAAAGTATTAGACAATTCGCATCCTTCCGATGTGTATAAAAGTCTTTTGGAGCGACCCGATTATTTTAGTCAAGAATTGGAAAAAAGAAATACTCTTCAGAGGACTGTCACTACTTTCTTAACAGGAAGGGAAGGACAGAGAGATACACCCACTGCTTCGCTTCTTGCAGAATCTCCCCACACAGAACAGAGTAGTGTTGCTGAAAGTCCTGCTCCCACAGAACAGATGCCACAAACACGAAATGAGAAGAAAAAATTATCAGTCAAGTCAAAAGAATCGAATGAAGATAACCGAAATGAAATCACGACCCAAACTAGAATGGACAGCACAGAAGAACGTACAGAACTATAAAAACTGAAATGAGGGATGTATTTCTCTCGTGAATTAGTCCAAAGATTGGCAGTATTATTCAGGTGACATATTCATAAGCTGACTTTAAATTATATACTCACCTACCCATAGTCCTCTCGAAGAGGCAATGTACAGAACAGGTGGATAAAAAGTCCTATTATATATTTGTTATAATCTCGTTTAAAAAATACTACTAATTAGTAAATGCAAGAAATTCGATGTAAAGATTTAATTAGAAATTAAATTGTTTTTAACCTTCTTGTCATGCAGTTATTAACATTTTTGGATATGTATCATCTCCATTTATTGAATGTACTTTGAGTATCGGAAGTTCAGTCAAGCAAAAAATAATAAATTTTAAATTATATGAAAACTAATTGTATTTTCCTACATATATATATATTTATTTATAATTTTAGCATTACTCAAAACAGTTACAATGAATGATATTCTAGAATCTTAAATATCAAATAAAAAATGTTTTCACACCAGAGTTGAATGGGAAGAACTTTTTTTGAAATCACACTTTGTTAGCACAGCAAAATAATGCAAAATTATATCATTTTCTTCTATAAATGCTCCAAAAAAACTGAAAAAAAATACAAAGAACAATTATAAGAGAATTTATAACTGAAAATAAAAAGCAAGTTGAATATTTTCTGTAAGTTTCCAATTTTGACATCAGATGGCGACACCAATACTTTAACATTTATTTATCGCTATTTAATAAATTCGCGTACATAATACTGTATGATGTTTTTCTAACTTATTTAGTAAATGAATTAAATTTATATTATTACGTCAATTTAAATTTTAAAATAAAAGATGACAAATTTATTATTTATTCATTTATTAAAATAATAATCATTATAGATTTTTTTTTCTTTTTTTTTTGTTGCCCTCCTCCAAAGATGGGACATTGTCCCTTCTTCAGGATTATATTGAAGGAAACGCAAATTTGTCACAACTATTAGGATTTAGAAACAGCTTTTATGTTGTGATAAGTACTAGCACCTACTTTAAAACGTCCCTAAACACTTTTATTAAACACAGGTTATAATTTACACCAGGGCAAACAGATAACTTCAGTCGCTAAACTGGAGAATCTGCGAGTCTTTGTTAAATTATCGATTTCTCGTCCGAAGATGTTTTTAGTTAGATTTTTTTAAAACGATCAAGAATTGTTCCAGGGAGAATTTGATTGAAGTTTTCAAATGAAGTGGAAAGGATTATTTATAAGTGTTTTTTTTTTTTTTACATATATATATAAGAAAGCACTAACGTTCAAAGATGGGAGCAACCTACTCTAAACATCTTTTAGTAACGGATTCGAACGCAAAAAACAAAGAAAAACGTCAGCATTTTTAATTGTTTTTCTCTATTAAAATTATCCGAATAAGTTCATTAATTTTTGCAACTATACACTTAGATTATTCGGATATAATTATTTTGAACGTTTTAAGTTAAATGCAGCACTTCATCTTATGAATCCACTCAGATATAAAAACTAAAATAAGTCTAATAAATGTAGTAATTAAAAACTGCAAAAAATACTTAAGTTATCCTTCCTAGATAAATTTTAATTATGCATTTTTATTTTTGTTTTTCTTTGCAAAGATTGTAAAAGATTAAAAAACTAAACATACTTACAGTTAGGTTTTCCTTTTAAAAACTTCATTAAAAAAAAAAAATAATAAAATCTCGACTAAATTAATATAACGGAATTAAATATTTTATTTAGTTGCATGCAATTTNTCCTTCACAACGCCAAGGTGTTTTCTCTCCAGCCAGCTAGGCCTAAATAAACGTCGGCGGTTGCACACCTCGGGCACTCTTAAAATGTATTCGTATCTTAGTTTATCTTAAAGACATTACTATTAATTTAATTAATATTTGAATTTAATAATAATATCAGTTAAATTATAAGTAATATGTTAACACATTAATACACATTGAAAATTGAACTGAAAAAAATACATCATACTATATTTAGAAAAGCAGATAATGTGAATACATAAAACAAGTAATAGTAACTCATAAACTGTAAGAGACAAGATACAAAATGGAATCTTGGTTTAAAAAAAGTCACCTGATAAATTTCTTTCAGAAAATTATTCCCTTCTGGGTGGAGTTATCTCTAGGGATGATATCTTTGTACCGAGGGGACTATACTAGAACTAGTGAAGCTGGCAAATGACACGCGATATGGCGTGCTATATATATAATTAAAACAGCTTGTTTACGCGGTGAAATAATACTATTGAAGTCGCACAGGTAACAAGCTACAGGGACGACAACTACACCGAAGTTGCTACACAACATCGGGAAAGAGCAGTAAGCGCGTACTCTGTGTCCCCAATGTGACACTCACGCCGAGAATATCGAATAGCTAAAGGGCATAATTAATACCTCGCGCATACTTTTAAATCGCGGAAGTTATTTAAAGACGTATACACTTATTTTTTACTACGTTGTGTTGAATTTACTTTTGTTTTTTTTTTTCCAAACACGCGCGACGTAATAAATTTTTTCTATTTAAAATAAAATTATTTTGCAGGATCCTGAACCAAATACAACTATATCCGAAGTGCATCGAAAAGCTCTTTCTCTTATTTCTTATATCGGATGTGGATTATCTGTTTTTGGATTATTCCTAACTATCATTACTTATTCTCTGTTCAGGTATGAATACAACTCAAGTTTTAATTGCTATATTAATGTGAACTATATAATTAATTATTATTATTATTATTATTATTATTTTGCAGGTGTTTGAATAAGGATCATTCCGGAAAAATCTTGCTCAATCTCTGCATCTCTATGCTTTTAATGAATCTATCGTTTCTAGCCAACTCTATTCCACTTTTTCGTAAAGAATTGTGTACAATATCAGCCATATTCATCCATTATTTTGTTCTAACCACTTTATCTTGGATGTGCGTAGAAGCTATAAATATCTACCAATTATTAATTCATGTATTTGCATCAGTAGAAACTCGTTTTATGTTAAAAAGGTTCATTGTTGCTTGGGGTAAGTTTTATTTACGTAAAAAACATTTGCGAGTTGTCATTTCCAAGCTCATAAATTTTTTTGTATTTTCAGGAATTCCATTTATCATTGTGGCCATAACAGCAGGAATAAATTTAAAATATTACGAAAATCCAAATGAGTAGTAAGTATTCTTGCAAAAACTTTGTTTGGATGTGTTTTAAGGTTGTTTAATATAAGTTACATTTTATTTCAGCTGTATGTTGTCTCCAGAAAACCCATATGTCTATTATATTTCTCTTCTTGGACCGTCTTGTCTTATTTTATCTGTAAATTTAATTGTATTCATTATGGTGAGTCGAGTATTATTTACTCCTCGCATGAACTCCAAACCAGGAGCAACGAAAAAGAGAGGAACTGTCACAATTGCTCAGATCCGTGGTGCGTTTACTGTTATGGTGCTTTTAGGAATAACTTGGGTATTTGGAGCTCTAGCCGTGAAACAAGTGAAGTTAATATTTCAATATATTTTCTGTATTGCAAATTCTCTTCAAGGGCTATTGATTTTCATCGTCAGATGTTTGTTATATCCAGAAGCTAGATGTGCTTGGAAACAATTAATATCTACTGGCACTTTAAAACGACATCGTGGTGTTTCTCCTCCTGGAGGCTCATGGTACGCAAATTCAAATTCCAGTCAAAAACAAAACGGTTGTTCAACATCTAGTCGTCTAAACAGTAGCGAGAATACAAACGCTATTGTCTTCAATACTAATTATTGGAATTCGGAAAAAGAATCAAGCAGATCATTGCCACTGAAGTTTCCTTGTTTGGGGACTGTCACCACTGCTAAAAACAATGTTCAGCAAAAGGAACCAAAACGAAAATCAAACAATACTGGTTTATATGGGACTACTTATGCCAGAAATTCTAGAGATCTTCCTCCTCCTCTTAATGATCCTACAATTGTTTATATAGATGAAGAAGAACAAGAGAAAGTATTAGACAATTCGCATCCTTCCGATGTGTATAAAAGTCTTTTGGAGCGACCCGATTATTTTAGTCAAGAATTGGAAAAAAGAAATACTCTTCAGAGGACTGTCACTACTTTCTTAACAGGAAGGGAAGGACAGAGAGATACACCCACTGCTTCGCTTCTTGCAGAATCTCCCCACACAGAACAGAGTAGTGTTGCTGAAAGTCCTGCTCCCACAGAACAGATGCCACAAACACGAAATGAGAAGAAAAAATTATCAGTCAAGTCAAAAGAATCGAATGAAGATAACCGAAATGAAATCACGACCCAAACTAGAATGGACAGCACAGAAGAACGTACAGAACTATAAAAACTGAAATGAGGGATGTATTTCTCTCGTGAATTAGTCCAAAGATTGGCAGTATTATTCAGGTGACATATTCATAAGCTGACTTTAAATTATATACTCACCTACCCATAGTCCTCTCGAAGAGGCAATGTACAGAACAGGTGGATAAAAAGTCCTATTATATATTTGTTATAATCTCGTTTAAAAAATACTACTAATTAGTAAATGCAAGAAATTCGATGTAAAGATTTAATTAGAAATTAAATTGTTTTTAACCTTCTTGTCATGCAGTTATTAACATTTTTGGATATGTATCATCTCCATTTATTGAATGTACTTTGAGTATCGGAAGTTCAGTCAAGCAAAAAATAATAAATTTTAAATTATATGAAAACTAATTGTATTTTCCTACATATATATATATTTATTTATAATTTTAGCATTACTCAAAACAGTTACAATGAATGATATTCTAGAATCTTAAATATCAAATAAAAAATGTTTTCACACCAGAGTTGAATGGGAAGAACTTTTTTTGAAATCACACTTTGTTAGCACAGCAAAATAATGCAAAATTATATCATTTTCTTCTATAAATGCTCCAAAAAAACTGAAAAAAAAAATACAAAGAACAATTATAAGAGAATTTATAACTGAAAATAAAAAGCAAGTTGAATATTTTCTGTAAGTTTCCAATTTTGACATCAGATGGCGACACCAATACTTTAACATTTATTTATCGCTATTTAATAAATTCGCGTACATAATACTGTATGATGTTTTTCTAACTTATTTAGTAAATGAATTAAATTTATATTATTAATATTAATTAATCATATCTCAAATCTATTTTAATAAATTTTAAGTTTAAATTTAGTTGTATTATATATAGTATATGTATACAAATATAAAAAAAAAATACTAAAAATTAATTTACGCAACTATTGTATAATTATATTATATTTATATTTTTGTTTTAAAAATATTACAGACTAATTTATTGTTTGTTTTCACAAATCATATGAAAATACTAGAATTTTTCAGTAAAAATTTATAAAGCTACAGTGCTTCCATCTAGTGAGAAAACTTTAAAATAATTAAAATTACTACCATGAAATCTATTCGTATCTTAGTTTATCTTAAAGACATTACTATTAATTTAATTAATATTTGAATTTAATAATAATATCAGTTAAATTATAAGTAATATGTTAACACATTAATACACATTGAAAATTGAACTGAAAAAAATACATCATACTATATTTAGAAAAGCAGATAATGTGAATACATAAAACAAGTAATAGTAACTCATAAACTGTAAGAGACAAGATACAAAATGGAATCTTGGTTTAAAAAAAGTCACCTGATAAATTTCTTTCAGAAAATTATTCCCTTCTGGGTGGAGTTATCTCTAGGGATGATATCTTTGTACCGAGGGGACTATACTAGAACTAGTGAAGCTGGCAAATGACACGCGATATGGCGTGCGATTTTGTGAGCAAATCTCTGGCAAGTTAAAAAAAACAACAAAAAAAAAATATATTCGCTTAGTAAACCTATTTCGATATAACAGGATGCTCCTAAAAGTCACCCCTTCAATCTTCTGAATGATACAGTTTATAACAATAACTCTCCATTTTCTTTTAAAATTATAATACGTAAATGTATAAACATTAAAGCTATAAATGATTTAAAAAATAATATTAATAATAATAATAAATACTACAGAAAAAATTGGTATATTATAAACATTTTA